TTTTCTAGGGTCCTAGGACAGGGCGGGACGCACGGCCCCGGAAGACGTCCCCAGACCCCTCCCGTAACCCACCCCCACTCACCTACGGACCGTTGCCGCCGTCGCCTCAACAAATTTCAAATCCACCCGCCGCTGTGTCTGACGTCACGAGCGGGCAGGCGCGAGGCAGCGCAGCTCAGCTCAACGGTGACTCCCTCCTTCCAGCCCCGCGGCGTTTCATTGGATGTCATTTCTTGACGGACGGGTTGGCGTCCAACCTCCGGGCACCGCCCCCACCTAGGCTGGGCTGTGCGGTGAGACAGGACAGGCTTCCCCGGATATGATGTCAGGGAGTGGCTCTTGGGGCTGTATAGCAAGATGGCTGCGCCCAGCGCAGGTGCTGACTGTTCCGGTGTGCGGGGGATGTTCCTCCTGCTGCTGCGGGCGGCCCGGATGACCTCCGACCTCCGCGCAGGGGAGCGAGGGGCTGGCGGCGGGGTGGGCAGCCACGGAGCCGGGCAGGGAGCGAGGAACCCATCCGCCGCTTTGCTGCTCAGCCCCGCAGGTTGGGGCTGGCATGCCTCCTTTTGTGCTGGGCCACGACACCTTTCACTCCCACTGCAGGGCCAGGTTGGGCCCAAGCCGTGCCCCCTTCCCCTGCTGGGCTGAGTTGGGGCAGGTCAGCTCCCCTTGTTGCCTCTGCATGGTGAAATGGTGCCCACCCCAGATTCCAGATTGGGACCACCAGCCAGATCTGACTGATGGATGGGTGGGCACAGTGCATCTGGCTGGCAGAAAGGGGTTAGCACAGGGGTGGGCAAAATGCAGCCCACCAGGCCATACTAGCTGGTCCGTGGGGCGTCCCCAAAATTTAGAAAATTAATATTTACCTGCCCCTGGCTGCCTGTCATGCGGCCTTTGATGGCTTGCCAAAGCTCAGTAAGTGGCCCTCTGCCTGAAATAATTGCCTGCCCCTGGGTTAGCACCGCTGCTTATAAGGTTTATGTCTACACTGCCTTAGAAAAGCCCAGGAAGAAGCTCTTAGGCTGCCATAAAAGCAAGAAATCTGGAGGTCAGTATAGCTGGCCCTGGATGCTTGCCCAAATGCTGATGTTGCTGTGTTGTGCTGTCATTAGGTATAGAACGAGCTGTTACGTCTCTCGGGGGCGCAGAGACGTCCCTCCCTGAAAGTCAGGAGAAATGCACAGAATCTCTGTAACTTTTAATCAGAAGGTACAATAGTAACACTGAAAAGTAACCAAAAAAACTGGAATAGATTCATAGTTTCTAGGGTTGGAAGGGACCTGAGAAGATCATCTAGTCCGACCCCCTGACATGGCATGTAGCCAGTTTTCTTTCACGTTGTTGTGGCACAAACTCATTTTATGTCAATGCCATAAGAAAACAGTATTTCCTCACCTAATCAGTGAGTAATCCTGAAGTAAGGCCAAGTGTCATATTGTATAGGAGACGCATCCCAGTTAAAATCCCGCGTGAAAATAAATGTAATATTGAGTATCACAGGAAGGTAAAAAAAATTCCCTTGAGTTGTTAACTTTAGCATGTGGAGCAGGCTTTTCAAAGCAGGAGAGTGTCTTATTGTGTTTGAACTGCTTGATAAGCCCTGGATATTATTTAAATAAGTAGTTACAGCTCTAAGGAATATGCTTTTCTGTTTACTATAGGAAAAGTCTAAACTGAAAAGAGTATGAATATTGGTTCCAGTTCCTCCAAGATGATGATATTTCCTGAAAGGGGAAGGTTATGATGTCTGTGGTGCATCGGTTGTCAGCTGGATGGCTACTGGATCATCTTTCTTTTATCAACAAGGCTGGCTACCAGCTCTGTCACTCTTCCCAACGCCCTGATGGGGCTCCCATTACCTCCACCTCTTCTGTGAATCCTGTTGTTCCTTCCTGCTTTACCAGTATATCGTCTCCTGTTGATGTACCTGCTCCTGAGCTTGGAGCTGCTGTAGAAAGAGCAGTTGAAATCTCTCACACACGATATGTGTTTCGGGATGAGTTCTTTCAAGTCTTTAAACCACATATTGTTGCATTTCCCCAAAAGAAACCACAACAAAGAAACTTAGAGGCTGGTCACACAGGGCTAAAGGACAACACCAATGGAGCAGAGCAGGAAGGAGGAGCCAGGAGTGATGATGCAGATTCTGTTGCCAGTGTAAGAAAGGTATGGCCAACAGAATTAAATGAGCTATGAACAAACAAACTGCATTGAGCAGTCTACTGTGATATTTTCTTGAAAATTTTTTCAGTACAAATGGTTGGACTCAGAGGAGCACATCTACAGCAGTCTCCAGCAGAGTGAAGATATCTGCAAAACCAAAGCTTTCTCTAGCTATTAGTAAGGACTTCTGTAGCTTGGAAAGATCTGGGCTCTTCTTGGTAGTAACTCATGACCCCATTTGAAAACCAGTGATCGTGCATTATTTAGCAGCCATCTGAAAAGTCTGATTTTGAGGGGTGCTCAGCTTGCTTCAGTGCGAGTTTTGGTGTTTCTGAAAACCAGGAAGTAAATGATAAGTAGATGCCTAGCCAGCAAGCTTGAAAATGACTTTTTGAAGCTTGGCTCTTTTATTTTTAAAGTTTTCAAAGTTCCTGAAGGACAACAATCCATGTAAATTGTTAATTTCTTTTGTTATGAATTGTTGCTGCTTCTTCACTTTCCTCCCAATTCCTCTTCCCTTCCCAAAATCATACAGCTATAATAGAACTATGTGTTCAGATCCTTGGCCAGTGTAGGTTCACACATTTCAGTGGAGCCCTGCTGCTATACAAGAACTGAGGATCTGGGCCATCTTTTTTTTCCGTTCTCCACATGCAGTCATTTTCTTGAGCTAAAATGGAATGTTTAGTGTACTGAAACTTGGCATGAAGAGTTGCAGCTCAGAAGAGCATTTTTAGGGAAGTTGTAACTGCAAAAAGAAGTTTCTATTGGAAACGCCAGGTTTTCAGGAATCTTATTTGAAGACGTGATTCTGTAACATTAAACTGAGCATTCTAGAATGACTTCTGGATTAAACAAATTCAATTTAGAAATCCAATTGTTGCTTTTAAAATTATAGTTAGCTCTGTTACCACACTTCACATTAGACTTTAGGTAGTGGCACTAAATTCATAATGCTTGAACAAGAATAATTCATTCTCTGAAAAGAGTGGTTATTGAGCACAGCAATTTGCAATTCCAAGTATGTGACAAAGAACAACAGAAAAACTCTGCCTAAGCTAAGGCAGCCCAGTAAGATGCAGTGACAGCACACGCAACTTAGCCTAACTTAAAATGCAAAAAGACAACAGAAAGCCTTGCATACGCTGACACTACAAAATAAGACACAGCAACAGCACACATTTTAGATGCAACAGAAACTTTGCATGAGTTTTTGGTAGTCCCGAAGACAGAGTCTAGCCAGGTGTTCAGGAGTTTTTCTAGGGGACTGCAGGTCAGATCTTAGCTGATGAGGGCAATCCCACAAGCCTCATCTTTGCCTGCATGTTTATAGGCGAGTCTGTGCTTCCTTGTCCCCCTTGGGTGTGTTGACTATAACATGCTTTTTATGTCTGTCATGTATCGCATACCCCTCATGATTCTCATGTTCAGCGGCTCTGCCTCTTCTCATGTGTTCTAGTTTCTTGCCTCTTACAAGTTTTGCTTTGAAATATAAATGTAGTTCCCTGCTTTCTTAGGTTGCATCAGTCTGTTTAAGCAGCCTGGTGACCCTCCCTTGCTACCTTAGGTCTGTCACATAGCTCCAGCCTACACTTGTGATAACTGTGCCAGGTCTTTGCCAACAGCTTTACAAAGTCTGCCTTAAATATGAAAGTTAAGCTTTTTCTGGTTACTGCATAATCAGATTTCAAGATTCTGCAAATGAAACATCACAATTGTATTACTGGTGTATGCATGAGGGAAGAATTCAGCTCACCATATGAAATACATATTCATTTTATACAAAAAAGCAGTTATGGAGCAGATCTGGTGACCTACAAAAGTACCATTTATTTCCCATCAGTTTTCTGGCCCTTTGTTATTTTTATAATATTTGCTTACCTTTATTATATATAGAACTCTTATGTGTTTCCCTAGATATGTAGTATTCTTCATAAATATATAGCATTACATACTACATAGTCTTTCAATGCTATATTATTGAAAATGGTGAAGAGGGGAAAAAATGATCCACTCTAGGCTGTGCTAGCATTATGGCACTCCATTTAATGAGTTGGAAAAAAAATCTCAGGTGTAAATATTGTGTTACTGCTCCACCTCTATATTTGATTTTTTTTTTAATATGGCTTTACAAAAATGTATTTGTCCTAGGTCAGTTCTAGTACAGAAATATGAGGTGCTTCTCTTCCATTTACATCTTGTGTATGTATTTTATTACCTAAAGGAATAACTGTAACCCTAAGAAAATAGATGGCACTTTCTTGTTGCCACCAGCCTTACAACTGAACATGTAACTTCTAGCAATTGCCCAAGTTAGAGTTAACATGAGCTGTGGCATGGCATAGAAGTCGTTTCATAGCATGGGGAAGTTATATGCCTTCTACAAGAACCTAGATGTGTTATGATTATTCTGGCAGTTCATATTGACAATATTGATTCTAATACTTTAGTTGAAAATAAAACGGGAAAGTCATGGCAAATGTCTTCCAGTCTTGAAGAACTCTGTACATTATCATTATATATTTTAGCCACATAGTAGCACATCTGATTTTTTTTTAATTTCATTTGTGCATTCTACAGACGTGTAAAAGAAAGCATAGTGGGCTCAACCAAGGTGAACTGGATGCTTTAGAATACCATACAAAGGTAAGCTGGAAGAAAAGTTATATATGAATACATGTCTTGTATGTTGAGCTGATTACATTAATAGAAATTTGATCTCTCTGTTCCCTAACAAGGGTGGAATGTGAATGTTTTTGTTAGCTTGCATGTATAAAATAAATTAGATTTCAGAAGGTAACATACATTTCAGAGAGCTAGAACTGATTTCACATAGTACCTTTAACATTCTGGTTAGCTAAACATCCAACACAGGAAATAACTGCAGGAAAAAGCTTCTGATACTTGTTTTAAGGCTTGAAACCAACAATGTGAACTGTTCTCATGACATTAGTTAGGTAGTATACTGTATCCCTCAACAAAAGGCTCTCTCATGTTTTGCTTCCACCAGGGAGACTATTACTGGCCCTTTAGCATCTTACATTTGTAATCTGCTTCCGGTGTCAGGAATGTATTAGTCTAAATCTTGATTTAGATTTAAAGCTGTGGTTTCCAACAATGATGTTACTTTTGTCTGAAATATATTGAATCGTGGTCTATGTTTGCATTTCTTTTTGCTGGTGTTGGTGGTAATCATTACTGTGTTATTTCTTTTTCTTTACATTATTTTTTCCTGTACAGATTAGAGGGCTGATTTGGGATGGTTCTACAAGTATAGTCCAAGAAGGGTTCAAAAGTGGTTTCCTTCAATCTATATCTGCAGAACACAGTTGCAGCAAGAATGTTGTTATGGAACATATTGGCTGTGGGTTAGCTGAATTATGTGAAATGGCAAAGCGGTTTCCCTCTGTGAATGAAAATGCCCATCAAATTATACAAATGACAGCTGAAGTGACCATTCCAGAGCAGGATCTGTTGTCATGTGTTACAGAAAACATGACAAGTTATGCAAAGATACTGAATTTAATGGGGCAGAAATATCTGGTGCCTCCAAAAAGCAGCTTCCTTTTATCTGATATTTCATGCATGAAACCACTTCTGGATTGTAAGTATATTTATTCATTAAAAGTATGCTTTTAGTGGTCATTGGCCCATAGCCTACTGATTGATAGGATATGTTGCTTGTTGAGCCAGCATTCAAATAATAATCTTAATGTGAGATCATAATATTGGCCCAAGAACTGTTAGTAGGGAAAACAGTAGCAAGCTGTTACCAGAAGAACCATAGAAAGGTAGGTCTGAAAGGGACCTCAGGAGGTCATTTAGTCTAACCCCCTTTTCAAGGCAGGATTTTCTAAACCAGTGGCTCTCAACCTTTTTTGGTCTCAAGGCACCCCTCGTTAGACTCAATGCATTCCTCAGAAAATGCAGTCTCTTAGATTTCACTCATTTTTTGACAATGGAAAATAATAGAACAATTTTTCTGTGACAGAAGAATCAGAAAGGTCACAACAGAGCACAATGTTTTTAACACTCTGGATTCCTATTTGAAATTTCTGATTGTATCTTGTAAATCACATTTACACACCTAACAGTGCCAACATTATTTGGCACCCCTAGCACCCTTGGAAGGATCTCAAGGCACCCCAAGACTGTGCAGCATCCTGGATGAGAATCACTGTTTTAAACATCTTGTGCAAATATTTGTCTAGCATGGTTTTAAAAACTCTCAGGGATAACGATGCCACAGTCTCTCTAGGTAATCTGTTCTAATACTTTACGAGCCTCATTGTTAGAAAGCTCTTCCTACTATCCAGCCTAAATTTCATTTATTGAAATGTAAGATTTATCCCTTGTCCTGTTCCCTGAAGCCAGAGAAAAAAGCCCGTCTCCAATCTCTTTGTAAACTGCCCTTCAGATGCTTGAAGATTGTTATTGAATCTTCTTTGTTGTTTCTTTTCTAGACTAAATAGTTCCAGTTTTCACATGTCCTTACTGAGTTTTACTCAGTTAATTTCAGATAGTTTACCAGTTTATCAAGGTCATTTTGAATCGTAATCCTACCCTCCATAGTGTCTGCAACTATCCAGCTCGGTGTTTGATAGTGTGGTGCTCTTCCTGCAGCTCTGCTGGGATTTTTCAGAGGAGTCTAGGTAGGCACATTAGGTGCCCAACCTTAGGAGTAAGACAGACAACTCTCTTATGCTGTTTTGAAAAATGCAGCTGTAGTGTGTTATATAAAACCCAGTAGACTTTTCTTTAATGAGCTGCGCACTCTGTTTATTTCTGCACTTCCTCCATAATCCATCTAATAATGAAATTGTGCATTGTTTTATCCTGCCTGAATCATTTAAAACATCAGTATGATAAGGTATTTAAACACAAGGGAAGAATATTTTTTCTAGCGTTAATTCTGTCCTGTCTAGCACCAAACCTGTAAACTATCTGGGCTTTAATTTATTACCCAAGGTTTGACAATTAAATTTATTTTCCATTGTCTATTATTCTGTGTTTAAACTTTTAAAAAGAAACATCCATATTTTAATTGGAAAGACATGCAAGTGCTAGAAACTTGCTTAACTATTACAGTTCTGTTCTGACGATGTAGGGTCAAGCTGTAGCTGTGTTGAAGAAAATAGCTTACTGCTTTCACTTTCCTGAAAGAGCAAGAAAGTCTAAATCAAACTTCAAATTGCTGCTCTATGTGTAGTACTGTTTTGCTACTCTGGAACTTCAGGCAGTAGGTTATGAATTTCTAAGTGGCCTCTGTATAGTAAATGTTAACATATAATCTCAAGGTTGTTTTTACCTCAAATCTCCCATTCTCTAACTATTTTATTAACATAGAATTTAGCAGATTCTGGCCACATGTGGGATACCTTTTATAGTTAACCACTCACTGTTTGAATAGAAACCATTTTTGTGAAATCAGTTGTATCGTTCTGCTGTATGTGACCTTCTACTCTGAACAGCTCATGTTTGTGTGTCTCTTGAATACACAGCATCTCTCATATGTTGTCTTACCTGAATATAGTTTTGTAGTGTAAGGCAAATTTGGCATAAAGAGATCTGAATTTACCTGTATTTTTAAGGGTTTTTTTTCTTCTTATGCCACCTACAAGAGACATGCACATGCTTGAGAAGTAATTGCCAATGCAGTCATAAGTGATATCTCGGACTATTGAACATGATTTTAACTCATTCTGATTTGGTATTTAATTTTGGACCCAGTGAATCATTTTAAAAAGTTAAAAAAAAGGTCTAAAAGTGCTGATCAGATGACTGGTTTTCTTCATTTCATTCTAAAAATTGTTTTCAACAAGCCATCTGAAGTAACAAAAAGCAGTTGAGTTTTTCAGTTTATTATGTTCATGGTAAGGGAATTTTTCCCTTTTAGCTGCATAAGATATAATTTTGGATATCAATTTTAGCTTTTGTTTTCTCTTAAAACTAATGTTTTTCAATTCTTTCTTCTTTTTAGACAAGAAAAAATATGATGTAATCGTAATAGACCCACCGTGGGCAAACAAGTCTGTTAAAAGAAGTAACCGGTAATTTTAA